CTGGCAAAATTGGTTAATCACTTGTAGAAAACTAAGACTAGCTCCTTATATATCACCCTGCACCAGAATCAACTCCGAATGGATCAAAGACCTCGAAGTCAAAGCAGACACTCTGAAAACATTACAGGATGGAATAGGAGAAATCCTAGGTCTCCTTGGCACAGGTCGAAATTTTCTTAATAAAGACTCAGAAACACAACAAATCAAAGAAAGGTTGGACAAATGGGATTGCATGAAACTTCAGAGCTTCTGCATGACAAAGGACATAGCTAGCAAGATCAATAGAAAGCCCATGGATTGGGAGAAAATCTTCACTAGCCATATAACGGACCAGGGTCTCATATCTAAAATATACCTGGAACTCAAAAAATTAAATCCCCCAGCAACAAATCCTCAAAGAAACAACTGACCAATAAATAAGTGGGCTAAAGACTTAAAGAGACACTTCTCTGAATAGGAAAGATGGATGGCCATGAAGAAATGCTCAAGTTCCCTAGCTATAAAAGAAATGCAAATCAAAACAACATTGAGATACCACCTCACCCCAGTTAGAATGGCTAGAATCAAGAACTCTAATAACAACAGATGCTGGAGGGGATGTGGCCAGAAGGGAACCCTACTGCATTGTTGGTGGGAATGTAAACTTGTTCAATCACTTTGGCAAGCAGTGTGGAGGTTCCTCAAAAGACTCCATATAGAGCTCCCCTATGACCCAGCAGTCCCACTTTTGAGCATTTACCCAAATGATCCACAAACAAGACCATACTAAAGCTACCAGCACAACTATGTTTATTGCAGCATTATTTACCATAGCTAAGCTATGGAACCAACCCAGATGCCCCTGAGTAGATGAATGGATCAAGAAAATGTGGTATATATACACAATGGAATTCTATGCCTCCATCAGAAAGAATGACATTGCCCCATTTGTTAGGAAATGGAAAGACTTGGAAAAAATTATATTAAGTGAAGTAAGCCAGGTCCAAAGAAACATAGGTCCCATGGTTTCCCTTATTTGCAATTACTAATATAAGTCTGAGAGAAGCAGAAAAGGTCAGATAAGTTGATGTTAGGTGAAACGAACCCCAAGATAAGGACTCAAATGTTTTTTTCTTTCTTGGGATTGTTTCTAACATATTTACAAGATGATTTCTTTGTTGCTTTGTATGTCCCTCCTCCACGGTATAACCCCTGTTTTCACTGTATTTGATGTTGGTATAATTTGTGGAGGGGAAGGGAAAAAACAAACTGTTTAAATAGGGATACAGGTGGACCCATTGCAACAATGAGATATACAAGACATTAGGTTGAAAAACGAACTTTACAACTTTAGCTGGGGGCGGGGGGTGGAGGAGAGGTATGTGAAGGGGAAACAAAGGAGGAAGCAACAATGATGCTTGATAAGAAACATACTCATTACCTTGCCCATGTAATTGTAACCCCTCTGTTTAGTATTTTCACAATAAAAAAATTGTTTGTTTGTTTTTTGCCAGTTGTGGGGCTTGAACTTTGGGCCTGGGCACTGTCCCTCAGCTCTTCGGTTCAAGGCTAGTGCTTTACCATTTAACATGACACTGTCAATTCCATTCACACGGTCACAAATGACAGGAATTCATTTTTTTTGTATGGCTGGAAAAATATATATAGAAATTTGTTTATCTACCAGCAGATAGACATTTGGCCTTCTTCTACTTCTTAGCTAATAAGAATAGAGCAGCCGGGTGCTGGTGGCTCATGCCTGTAATCCTACCTAACTCAGGAGGCTGAGGATTTCCAGCCTGGGCAGGAAAGTCTGTGAGATTCTTACCTCCAATTAACCATCAGAAAACTGGAAGTAGAATTGTGGCTCAAAGTGGTAGAGAGCTAACCTTGGGCAACATAACTCAGGGCAGCACTCAGACCCTGAGTTCAAACCCTGTGACGGACTAAAAAGAAGAAGAAGAAGGAGGAGGAAGAGGGGGGTTGGGGGAGGAGGAGGAGGAAGAAGAAGAAGGAGAAGGAGGAGGAGGAGGAAGAAGAAGAAGGAGAAGGAGGAGGAGGAGGAAGAGGAGGAGGAAGAGGAGGAAGAAGAAGAAGAAAAGAAGAAGAAGAAGAAGAAGAAGAAGAAGAAGAAGAAGAAGAAGAAGAAGAAGAAGAAGAAGAAGAAGAAGAGCTGCTTTATGAAATGGTCACTCCTCTATAACACCTTAATAATAACAATAAAATTATATTTTAAAAAAGAATAGAACTGCTGTGAACATAGATGTGTAAGTATCTAAGATCCTGCTTTAAGCTATTTTGGATGCATATCCAGAAGGTATAAATTCTGAGACATAAATAAGTTCTGGAGGCTTTATGCTAAGTAAAACAAGTGAGTCTCCAAACAAATCTTGTATGATTCTACTTATATGAGGTGTATGCAGAGTCAGATTCATTGGAATAGAAAGAAGAAAGATGGGTTCCAAGAGTTGGATAAGGGGCAAAGGAGTTCTTTAATAGGTGTACACTTTCAGTTTTGCAGTTAAAAGAGTTCTGCAGACTGGTTGTACAACACGTAACCCAAAATAACTGTTTAAGAATTTTTTTTAGAAGACAAAAAGTATGAGCTGAGCACTGATAGCTCATACTTGTAATGCTTGCTATTTACGAGGCTGAGATCTGATAACCGTAGTTCAAAACCAGCCTGGGAAGAAAAACCTGAGCAACTTATCTCTAAGTTAACCAGCAAAATGTCAGAAACAGAGGTTTGGCTCAAATGGTAGGATGCCAGCTTTGTTGGGGGAAAATAAAACAAAACAAGCAAGAGCTCAAATCCTTGAGTTCAAGCCCTAGAATTGGCACAACTCCTCCTTCACTCCCCCCCCCCACCAAAAAAAAATACCCACCAACTATGAAAAGCAAAGGAAAAGCTTGTGAAAAAATAGGTATCTCTCAGTGAACCACTCTTCTGTTCTAACTTGTCATTTAATCTTTCTAGTAACCACACAATGGGATGGTGGTTAAATCAGCGGTTGTGAGATTAAAAGAGGCTATGCCATTTTAGAAGTGCAGTGGGTGGAGGACAGTACTGATTTGTATTGGAGGATCCTGATACCTAGTGGCTGTTGTCATCTTAACACAAAGCACCCCAGAGTAGGCCAAATCAGCCATCACATTTAAGAGTACTCCTTCCATACTTTAATGAGAACTGAGGGTAAATGTTTCATTTTGGCTTGAACTAGATGCAGTTAAATAATTTGAATCAGGCATGCAGTGAGTCACAATAGCATAGCAGTGCATTTGAACACCAGTGATGGAAGCACACCAGGGGTTATGAGATAGTGTACTTGTAGTTATTCCATTGCAGTCATTGCAGTCTTTTCTTGATGACATGGCTTTTGCCAAACACTTTCCCTCATTTCTTTACAATATTAAGTATTTTCTCTGTTTCCTTTTCTTGGGCATATTAGCTTCTGTTTCTTTCCCCATTTCTTTTTTTTTTAATTTTTTATTGTAAAGATACTATACAGAGGGTTACAGTTACATGAGTGAGGTAATGAGTACACTTCCTCTTGAACATTGTTAGCCCCTCCATTGTTTTCCCCCTACCATCCCCTCCCTCCCTCCCTTCCCCGAAGTTCTTTTTTTTTTTTGATTGTGATTAAGTGATTACATAATTTCTAAGTCACAAGTTCATTCTAACTTTCCTGGAGCAAATTTTCTATCACAGTCTGTAATATATAACAGTGTTCACATGTTATACACCATACATGTGATCAGCAGCATGGGGATATTTAGTAGTGGTTCAACCAGATGAGCAGGAGTTCTTTGTTTCTTAAGTCCTGTTAGTTTTGTCGTATCACCTAACATTTTGGATTTATCATCCACTTATCAGGGAGACCATGTACCGTTTGTCTCTTCGCTCTTGGCTTACCTCGCTCAACATGATTCCTTCTAGCTCCATCCATTTCCCTGCAAATGCCATTATTTTGTCATTTCTAATGGCTGCATAATATTCCATTGTGTATAGATACCACAATTTTTGGATTCATCTGTCGTGGGGCATCTGGGTTGTTTCCATATCCTAGCTATTGTGAACAGTGCTGCAATAAACATGGAGGTGCATGTGTCCTTGTATATTGTGGTTCCTGTTGTTCAGGGTAGGTGCCTAGAAGTGGTCTTTCCCCATTTCTAGACTTTCATTTATGCCTCTACTTTATCTTGTATATTGTCTGCTTATAACAGCTTGATATGGTAGTATATGCCTGTAATCTCAACACTTAGGAGGCTGAGGTAGGATAACTTCAAGTTTAAGGTGAGGCTGTGCTATAAGATAACAACAGCAGCAACAACAGTAAAACAAAACAAGAAACAAGCAAGCATGCCTTAGCAACCAATAAACTGATAACTGACAGTTGAGAGATTAGAGTAATAGGAAATATATATCAGGTTCTGGTGGATCATACCTGTCTGTAATCCTAGCTACTCAGGATGTAGAGATCTGAGGATTGTGGTTCAAAGCCAGCTTTAGCAGAAAACTCTTATCTCCAATTAACCACCAAAAAGCCAGAAATGGAGTGGCTCAAAAGTGGTAGTGTTTCAGCCTTGGAGGAGAAAAAGCTAAGGGAAAGAGCTTCAGGCCCTGAATTCAAAACCTAGTACCAGCATGTGTGCACGTATGCGTGCATGCACGTGTGCGTATGTGCACACATGAAATATATAGTATGGCAAATCAATTTGGAATGTTTATTCAGATGAGTTAAATTAGCTTCAAAGGAAACTAATAGCTTTTAAGATGCTGTTAATTGGAAAAAAGTTTCAATCCTACTAATTTAAACCAGAAGTAAAGATGAAAAGGTCCTTGATCTATAATTTATTTAACAGCTAAGAGTTTTACTATGTGCCCATTCATGATTTTTAATATTCTTCAAAGCATAGTGAACAAACCTGGAAGGTTTTTGGCTTAATTTAAATAAAGAGAAAGGGGTTGCATGCCTTTCCAAGTATTATGAATAGAACCAGGCTTCTCTTTTCCTCTGCAGACGTTTGGCAGACAGAGCTGCTGAATTGGAGCAAGTGAACAGAATTAACCAATGCCTGCAGGAGGACTGGGACAGAAACGCCGCCAGGAAGAAGCAGCGGGACCTGGAGGAAAGGGCTTTTGAGAGGTGAGACATGACTGCCAAGGGAAGTTCTGGGACTGCAAGAAGTTCTGGGATGGCAGACAGATTTCATGTACTAAATCCAGTTGATTATAGTGGAAAATTTTGTGGAGAGAGCAAGTCTGTGTTCTTCTGCTGTAATTGATTAGTCATGTCTGTAATGAGCAAAGGATGGAAGAGTGCTGTGTCACAGGCCTTATGTTTTCCAGTCTGCTCAACCCTTTGTGCTCAGGGTGGTTTTACCTTGTAGAAGGTAGGATTCTCTTCGGGAAGAACTATTTGGAAGTAAGGAGATGTGTGTTTCTGATCTGAGCACTTCTAAGGCTTATGGAATGGCATTTAAGAGCAGAGTCAAGGTGTCAGATAGAAGTAAGACTGACAATTGGGAAAGTGAGATACCCATTAGGGATCCAATGATTGCTCCCCAGCTATGTGTTTAGGTTACATAATCCAGAGTAAGGGAATCTAGGATACAGTCTTACCTTTGATAATTAACACCAAGTCTGGAGAGGCAGCTAAACCTTTTGTCATATATTTATTTATAAAATGGGAAAATAAATAATTGCCTGACAAAGCTGACACAGGAGATTCTTTTTCTTTTTTTCCTGTTTTTTAAATTTACTTTTATTGTAAAGGTGATGTACAGAGGGAAAACAGTTGAATAAGTAATGAATACATTTCTTTGGTTTTTGTTGTTGTTGTTGGTTGTGGGGCTTGAACTCTGTGTCCTAGGTCTGTCCCTCAGCTCCTCAGCTCAAGGCTAGTGCTACCACTGGAGCCAGAGCACCACTTCCATCCTTTTCTGCTTATGTGTTGCTGAGGAATCAAACCCAGGGCCTCATGCATGCAAGGCAAACACCCTATTACTGAGCCACCTTACCAGCACTGTAATGAGCACATTTCTTAACTATTTTTTCTTTTTTCTTTCTTTCTTTCTTTTTTTTTTTTGGTCAGTCCTGAGGCTTGGCTCAGGGCCTGAACACTGTCCCTGAGCTTCTTTTGCTCAAGGCTAGCACTCTACCACTTGAGCCACAGTGCTCAAGTGGCTTTTTCTGTTTATGTGGTACTGAGGAATTGAACCCAGGACTTCATGCATATTAGACAAGCACTCTACCACTAAGCCACATTCCCAGCCCATGAGTACATTTCTTGTCAAACATTATTACCCCCTCCCTCATTTTTCTCCCACTTTCCCTCCCTCTGACTCCCCTTTCCCCCAAGTTGTAATGTTCATTTCCAGTCTAGTCTGGTGAGTATCATTGTTGCATTGGTTCACTTGTTGTCCTTTGTCTCACCATTTTTTACTCCCCTTCCCTTCCCCAAATCAGATAAATGTATATATAAGACACAGGATACCAAAATCAAAAACAGTGATAACAGGGGCTAAACCAAAGGAAGAAGAAAATGAAAGAAAAAATAAATTTCACACAGTACATTAAAACAAAACAAAAACCCCTACAAAAATGAAAAAGCCCTCTTGTTCATTTCAATTAGTGTCATTTTATATGGTCATATGTACATAGCTATTGAGCTATTGTGATGCTCTGCTAGGATTGTGACCCTCTGCTAGGACTACCCTAGACATATACTAATTATTACAGATGAGAGAAACAATGGAGACTATGTTTCTTTGAGTCTGGCTTATTTCACTTAATATGATTTTTTTTCCAGGTCTTCCCATTTCCTTATGAATGGGGTCATGCCATTCTTTCTGATGGAAGCATAGAATTCCATTGTGTATATACCACATTTTCTTGATCCATTCATCTATTGTGGGGCATCTGGGTTGGTTCCATATCTTAGCTATGGTAAATAATGCTGCAATAAACATAGTTGTGCTGGTAGCTTTAGTGTGGCCTTGCTTGTGATCCTTTGGATAAATGCCCAGGAATGGGATTGCTGGATCATAGGGAGTTCTATGTTTAGTCTTTTGAGAAACCTCCATACTGCTTTCCAGAGTCGTTGAATCAGCTTACATTCCCACCAACAGTATGGTAGTGTTCCCTTTTGTCCACATCCCTGCCAGCATCTGTTATTATTTGTTTTCTTGTTAATGTCCATTCTAATTGAGGTGAGGTAGAATCTCAATGTAGTTTTGATTTGCATTTCTTTTATAGCCAGACATGTTGAATATTTCTTCATGTGTCTACTGGGCTAGTCTTACTTTCTCTCTAGAGAAGTCTCTTTTTAATTCTTAGCCCACTTATTAACGGGTGGTTTTTTCTCTGAGGATTTTTTATTGGGGGGTTTAATTTTTTGAGCTCTAGGTATATTTTTGATAATGAGGCCCTTGTCGGTTGTATGGCTAGTGAAGATCTTCTCCCAATCTGTGGGCTTCCTATTTATCTTGCTAGCTATATCCTTTACCATGCAGAAGCGCTGCAGTTTAATTCAATCCCATTCATCCAGCCTTTCTTTGATTTGTTGTGTTTCTGGATCTTTATTTACGAAGTTTTGACCTGTGCCAAGGAGCCCTTGTGTATCCCCTATCACTTCCTCTAATATATTCAGGTTATTACTCTTACCTCGAGGTCTTTGATCCATTTGGAGTTGATTCTGGTGCAGGGTGATCTATAAAGATCTAACTTCAGTTTTATACACGTGACACAGGAGTTTTAAGGTTAAAATAAGACAGGGCAAAGTGTAAATATTTCCCAAGATCTCACAGATGGAACAGACCAAGGCTACAAATTATTAAAACCAAGCTTGAAATTAATACCAAAACAACACTTTAAATGGCCAGTTACCAATGTGTATGTGTATGCCAGTACTGGAGCTTGAACTTAGGGCCTCACAGTCTCACTTAGCTTTTTGGCTTAAGGCTGACACTCTACACCACTGCACCATAGCTCCTCTTCTGTCTTTTTGGTAGCTAATTGGAGATAAGACTCTCTTGGACTTTTCTATTCAGGCTGGCTTTAAACTGTGATCCTGATATCAGCCCTTTGAATACCTGGGATGACACAAGTGAGCCACTGGTGCCCAGCTTGTCAACTCATTTTTTTAATCATAGATAAAAGTTATTGTAAAAGAATTTGATCTATTCTCTTGATATCCCTTGGTTTTCTGGATCTCAGGTTTTTGTATTTTGGGTTGTTTTTAAAAGATTTTCTTAGAAGTCTTTCTCTTCTCTCTTTGTAATGAATCGTACTCATATTTAATAGCTATGAAAGTCTGAGGAATGATGTGACAAATAGGTCAAAAAGGTGTAGTGGGTATGTTTGTGCTTGAGAAGAACAATGGAAAGAGGAAGGGAATTTGGACAGTAAAGCCATTTGTTCAATATTGAGGGGAAACAGGTAAAGGTAATGAGGTTAAACCCAGCAAGATGTTGTTTAGATCTAGAACAATGTTTACCCAACAGAAAGATAAACTATAGATGAGACACAAGAAATAGTTTGGAGTGGTAAGTAAATGTAATCATTCCAACAGGGAATCCCGGTCATGGCACCCAAATATGTAACCATTCAATGAGTCCACATCAGAAAAAGCTTATCCCTAATTCACTGATCAATGCACCGAATATGTTACCAGAAAGTTTAGGGCAGCTGAACAACCTTGGTCCTTGTATGGCAAGAGAAGAATTCAGGCAAGAAGCAAATATAAGTAAATATGATAGAAAAGTATATTAGAAGGGAAATATAGCAGAGAAATAGAGCATGTGGCATAGCTATGCCATGAGGAAGATAGCACTTCAGCCCATCTCAGCTGCCTTGGCCATCTTCCTTATCTTCTTCACTGTGGAGCTTGACTTTGGGCTAAATGGTGAGAATTGGATGGCTTCTTGATCAGTCAGTCTCCTTTGTGTTTCCTTTGTGTTTGGCTGTGGAACCAAAGATTACTGTCCCATTCTCATTTCCTCATTGTTTTTGTTGTCATGGAGGTTTTTATTTTATTTTTTGTCGGTCGAGGGGCTTGAACGCTGGGCCTGGACACTGTCCCTCAGTTCTTCAGCTCAAGGCTAGCACTCTACCACTTGAGCACCACTTCCAGTTTTCTGGTGGTTTATTAGAGATAAGAGTCTCACAGCCGGGCGCTGGTGGCTCACACCTGTAATCCTAGCTACTCAGGAGGCTGAGATCTGAGGATCGCTGTTTAAAACCAGCCTGGGCAGGAAAGTTTGTGAAACTCTTATCTCCAATAACCCACCAGAAAAACTCTGTAGCTCAAGTGGTAGAGTGCTCACCTTGAGCTGAAGAGCTGAGGGACAGTACCCAGGCCCAGAATTCAAGGCTTACGACCCACAAAAAAAAAAAAGTCTCATGGACTTTCCTGCCCGGACTGGCTTTAAACCTCAATCCTCAGATCTCAGCCTCCTGAGTAGCTAGGATTACAGGCATGAGCCACTGATGTCTGGCCATCATGGAGGATTTTATTTTTTATTTTTTGGTAGTCCTGGGGCTTGAACTCAGGGCCTGGGTGCTGTCCTTGAGCTTTTTTTCCCTCATGGCTATCACACTACCATTTGAGTTAGTACTCTACTTCCAGTTTTTTTGGTACTTAATTGGAGATAAAAGTCTCATGAGTTGTCCTCCCTAGGCTGGCTATGAACTATGATCTTCAGATCTTACCTCTTGAGCAGCTAGCATTACAGATGTGAGCCACCAGTGCCTGAACACTAGCTAGGTCATGCTAGGTACAAGGACTACAATAGGCAGCAAGTAGGAAGGAGTTGATGTGAAAATAAAACCAAGAGAAACTAAAACAAGATTCACACAAACTACTCTGTCAGTATTACCAGTGAACCTGCTTACAAGGTTGTTTAGTCTTTTTCCTTAAGACTGTCCTTGATTTTCTACAGTTCTGTCCATGCAAAAATGTTGATAGGAACTAGGAGAGAGCAAGGGAAGGAGTGACATTGTCCAAAAAGAAATGTATTCTTTTCCTGACTGATTTAAATGTAACTCTTCTGTATATCACCTTTATAATAACAATAACAAATTAAAAAATTTTGACAGGCTGGGACGTACACCAGGACTCACAGGCTATTTATCCAGGAAGAACTAAGTGGAAAATTAGTTACTGCTGCCCCCCTTCCCTTCTCTCTTGACTTGTTTGGAGAGGCTCCAGCCTCCTAATACTTTTCTTTGCAAGTCTACCTTAGCACCTTATAGGTGTTAAATTGTTAATTAGCAGGTTAATAGCTTTATCTCCCTCTCAGCTACTATCCCAGGACGGGGGAGGTAGAGGTTCATCCACATGGTAAGACAGTAACCAACAGAGGCTTGGAGTCACCATCACTGGCTGTGTGACCTTGGACTTTGTGTGTTCTTAGGAGCTGAGGGAAGTATGGCTGGGCCAGGAGGGCAGAATCAGACAACTATGAAGGTACCAAGCCAAAGATTTTGATTTGTGGAGAAGAAGAGATAGATTTAGAAGTAGGGAATGCCAGGATATGGGGAAAGCTCCAGGTAGCAGGGAGAGAGCAAAGGTGGGTTCTAAGTGCCTTGAAAGCAGGGGCCAGGTGGTGTGTGTGTGTGTGTGTGTGTGTGTGTGTGTGTGTATGTGTCCTAGAACTTGGGGAATACCTGCTAACTGTTGCCTTTTCTCTCCTCTCCCAAGGGCTTCCAACAAGCTATTCCTGTTGGATCAGTGTGAGAAGTATCCACGCTGTATGCGGTGCCAGAGGCGTACCTCCAACATGGGCGAGAGCAATGTGTGGCCCGAGAGCAAATTCATCCACGGCTCTCGATTGCTTGTATAGAACTCTAAAGTTTGAACTTGTGTTTCCTGGGAAGCACCTTTTACAAGTTTGGAATGATTGTAAAACTGTATATTTGTACTTCAAAGGAAGAAAAGATCTTTTTTTCAGGTTAGGTGTTTTAGATCTCTTAGTGAATTCATGTTGGCACACTGTCCCCTCCTGCTTTCCTCCAATCCCTACCTATTCTCTGAACTTCTCTGATGGCAGTGGAGGTGTCAGAATTATTCTGGAACATGAATCCATGGCCACAGGGATTGGGAATAGGATCCAGCTTTGTGCCAGCTGCTGTATAAGAAACTTTCTATTTTTTCACCTGTCATGAATAATGTCAATAATAAATATTTTCTGAGTGCCTGACTATGCAAGATAATTCCTAATGGTAAAATTCCTCTCTCCTGGAATATGGGGTAAGGATGTTTTCTGGACATTTCTTAAAGGCTGTGTGGATACTAAAGAGGTAGGCCAAGCTGTTCCCCTCAGACTCAGAGAAGTCCTGATTGAGTTTTCTAATGGATGATATGTGAGGACTTTGTCAGGGCCTTCAGGGATGTTATTCCCGTGGAGACCTTCAGATGAAACATTCTATCATCCAGATATTCCACTCTCTGATAATTTGGAAATTAATGTATTGTCTGAGGGAAGTATGGCTGGCCATTGCAGAAGGCTTATTCTCACCTTAAAGGAGTTAAGGTGTGTTCTACCAAAGATAATTTTTCATTTACCTTTATTGTTTACCTCTCTTCTTTCACCTGTCCTACCGCCTCAGGTATAATAGCTAGAATGAAGTCCAGCTTTCTGAACTAGGAAGAAAGGGAGGAAGAAAGTCTTTTAGACTATTTATTCTCTTTCTGACTGCCAAATCTTCCCTTGGGAAATGTATATGGGCAGACATTTGTATTTGAAGACTTACTTTGTTGGCTACTTAAATAAAACAAGAATGTATTGAGCTCTAAATAGTTTAGAGGCAAACATTGACTCAAACTAATATGGTTAGTAATAATACTGATGTGACTTTTCCTGGGGTAACAAGAATGTCTGCTAGTTGGAATTTTTCCAAACCTCTTCCCAAGCCTTCCTATAGTGCCACCTCCTTGAATGCCCTCCCTCAAGATCCTTTTGTGGAAGTCTAATCATCCTCAACCAATATTGAAGACATTAATAGCCTTTTACCAGGATTGCTAGATTGACTTTATCCATTCCTCCTGAACTCAGTCTCTTGTATATAATAAAATGCTATAATAATGTTGCATTAATATTAATTAAAATACAGACACCTTTGTTAAGGAAAAATGAGTTTAGGCAATCTTGTTACATACAGATTTGACTTCATATACACTTGTTACTGGAAAAACAAATTATCAACTTAATTTACAATTTATAGTTTTCTATCATTGGTATCAGTCAGCCTTACTAGGTGCCAAAACAATAAGATAATTTTTCATGACTTGGAGATTAAGACCTCTCCATTCTTTGGCTTTTTTCAGAGTGTGGGAGTGAGATGTGACTAGAAGAATCTCTGTGTAACAAGGGAAAACTACAAGGGTGAATATGGTCAAAATGTACATGTGTGAAAGCAGAACAATGAAGCTTGCTAAAACTGGTTTGGGAAGGAGAAAAAAAGGATGGAGGAGGAAATAGGGAGTAGGGAGTTTAATCGAGGTACTTTGTATGAATAAATAGACATGTCAAAATGACTCTCACCTTGCATAACTGATGTTAATAAAAAATGTGGAATAGGGGCTAGGAAGATGGCTCAGTGGTAGAGTGCTTGCCTTGCATGCATGAAGCCCTGGGTTTGATTCCTCAGCACCACATAAGGAGAAAAAGCTGGAAGTGGTGCTAGCCTTGAGCTGAAGAGCTGAGGGACAGCACCCAGGCCCAGAGTTCAAGCCCTACGACTGACCAAAAAAAAAAAAAGTAGGATGGGATAAAGGGAAAAAACTGAGCAGCATTGTAGTTGTTACAGATGAGCAATGCGGTGGAGCTCTTACTGTCTCATAAAGATGGTTAGAAATACTTTATTATTTTTCAAAGAACCAGATTTTGCTTTCATTAGTTTTTCTTTACACAAATTTTCTTAATATCATTGATTTGTTAAATTTTATTTTCTTTTGCTTGCTTTGGGTTTAATTTGGCCCTATTCTAGTTTCTAGGGGAAGACATTGATTTGAACCTTTTTTTTTTTTTCTTGTGTGTGTGTTTTTTTTTTTTGGTTGTAGGGCCTGAACTCTGGGCCTGGGCGCTGTCCCTCAGCTCTTCAGCTCAAGGCTAGTACTCTACCACTTGAGCCACGGTGCCACTTCCGAGGATCCGAGCCCAGGGCCTCATGCATGCAAGGCAAGCATTCTAACACGGAGCCACCTTCCCAGCCCCTTGAACCTTTCTTACTAATATAAACATTTAATGAAGTATCTCTGGATTTAGCCATATCCTATCAAATCTGATAGAATTATGTTCATTTTCCTTCAGTTCAAAACATTTCCTATTTTTAAAAAAATTTAACTATCTTTCCATAGTTTAGGAGAATATTGCCAATTTCCAATTTTAGGAGATTTTACAGCTATTCAAGCTTTTGAAGATTTTGTTGATAGCTCTGTAAATTATTTCTAGTTTAATTTGTGGAGCATATGCTCTGTATAATTCTCTTAAAATTTTAAAGATTAGTTTAAGCCCAGAATTATAATGTATTGCTGAACTGCCCATGTTCACTTGGGCAGAAGGTGTAGTACTGAGTATTGTGTTATAAATGTTGGTTTACAGTGTTCTTTATAACTTCTATATCTTTCCTAATTTCTACTTGTTCTATAAATATTGAGTTCACACTGATACAAGGATTCCAATTCAAAATCCTAAGATTAATGCTACTTTCCCCACATTTTTTGCTTCTGCCGGACGGTTAAAAACAACAACAAGAGCCGGGCGCTGGTGGCTCACGCCTGTAATCCTAGCTACTCAAGAGGTTGAGATCTGAGGATCGAGGTTCAAAGCCAGCCCGGGCAGGAAAGACCGTGAGACTCCTATCTCCAATAAACCACCAGAAAACCGGAAGTGGCGTTGTAGCTCAAGTGGTAGAGCGCTCGCCTTGAGCTGAAGAGCTGAGGGACAGCACACAGGCCCAGAGTTCAAGCCCCACGACCGACAAAAAAAAAAAAACAAGAAGAAAAATGCCTCTGATTCCTATTATCCTGTTTATTACTAGAATAATTACCAAGAGGTAGGAACAATTGTGCATAATGTTTGACAATACAAATAGGATGTTTTTTAACATACTGTTGGTACTGGAGAGAGAGACAACTGCAAAATTCACATCTCACCTCAGCCTCGCTGAGAGTTATTTGCTTTATGATCTTGGACATCTTAACGTTTCTGTGCCTAGACTAACAGAAACGGTACTATTAACTCGTAGGGTTGTTGATTTAAGGTTATATAAGCTCGTTAGGAGTGGTCTTGCACTCCTGAAATCCCTACAACTTGGAAGGTGGAGATCAGGGGAATCATGATTTTAGGAAAGCCCAAGGCAAAAAAAAAGTCAAGCGGGGAGTGGAGGTTCACGCCTGCAGATCCTGGTGAGGTAGGTAGGTAGGGTTTCTAAACAGGGTCCTTCCTTAAAAAAAGAAAAGTGGGGGAACTCACAGGAAAAATAAAGCAAAAGGACTAGGAGTTGGGCTCAAGTCGTGGAGGAAGTCCTGCGCTCAGTCCTGGATACTGCAAAACAAAAACAAAACAAAGGCACCTAGCATTGTTTCGATTTACGACACAGGCTTCCCAAGAGACTGGGTTAAACCAAGAAGCAGCCGGATACAGTTGAGAAACTTCGGTCACTGTCCCTTCCGGTCCCAGTGCACCCCTTGCCTGCCTTTTAGCTTCCGGCAGACTCTGCCCTGTAGTCCTCCCGGCCGGTCGTTTCAAGCCTTGAGACTCAGATCCCTACAATTCCCGCCTCAACAACAGGCATCGCGATGACGTCACGGGGGGCGGGCTGAACGTTCCCGCTTCTCATTGGCTCTTGGCCCGCCACCGCGGTTGGTGAGGAGGCGAGTACGTCGCCCCGGCTATAAAAGGGAAGGCTTGTGACGCAGAGGGCTGGAGAAGGCGCGTACTGGCTCCTCGGCCGCCTCTCCGCCCGACCGCTCGCGGGACTACGGTACAGCTTGGCGTCCGGCGGCGCTGTCGTCGCCTCCCCGCAACGCCCACCTCCGCTCCCAGCCCAGGAGCTGCCGCCGCCGCCCGCGTCGCCGCCGCCACGGAACTGACTGTATGATCAGGCCGAAGCCGTTCATGAGTAAACGCGCTCCGTCCTGTGGTGTTCTCAGTCTCGTATCTATGGAGTTCCCGAAGGGCCGCGGACGCTACTGTCAGGCCCAGCACGGCCTTCCCGAGGCCAAGTGAACCGACGACGGTCCTCGCTGGGCCCCGGGAAGCCCCTCCCCCCCGGAAGCGCGGCGCCCGGCCCGGAAGCCCGCCGGAAGCGTTTGGTGGGACTTCCGACGGGGACGGGGAGACCTCCGCCTGCTCCTTCATGTGACTCAAGGTGCCGGAACTGGAGGGCTGCTGCCACATGGCCTTTGGCTTCCGGCCCCTCCCAACTTCCTGTGCAGAGCGCTGCGAGTTCCCGGCGGACTGCACTACACTTCAGTGTCTCGGCCTCCCTTCCGTGTTCGGACAAGTTCTCTCATAACTGCATTGATTGTTTGCTTAAAGCTAGATGACCATGGCGCCCATGAACCGCCCAGCTCCCGTGGAGGTCACCTACAGGAACATGCGATTTCTCATTACACACAATCCAACCAGTGCAACGTTAAGCAGGTTTATAGAGGAACTGAAGAAATACGGGGTGACCACGATAGTAAGATTGTGTGAAGCAACTTATGATACTGCTCTGGTAGAGAAAGAAGGCATCCAGGTTCTAGATTGGCCTTTTGATGATGGTTCATCACCGTCCAAACAGATTGTCGATGATTGGTTACATCTGGTTAACATTCAGTTTCGTAAAGAACCTG